TTGACCGTTAAATGTGTGATGTGGCAATTTAAAATTAATAAAATTAAAATTTTTAAAATTACCATCTCATTTCCACCGCATTATCACTTTTATTTAAATAAATAAAAAACCCTAATTTCTTCTAATCCCAATACCAATACCCCTCCGTCGCTGCCACTTCCATTGTTGAAACTTCCCAGTCAAACTAAATTGGGTTTGGGAAGGGGAAAGATCTCTCCATTTACCAGTCATGAATCAAATTCCAGCCTCAGGAAGCAGCAACGGGAACGACCGTGAGAGCTACGGAGAGAATTAGAGACAACTATTTGCCTCCGGTGACCTCGCAAGGCGGCTATTATCTCGTCCACAGACACAAACGTGCCGGCAAAAGTCCCGAGGAACAGTCCGTATCTCACCGTCTCCTTGACTGCTAGAGTGATGGCTTCACTATTGGTGAAGCCCAAAGGCTTTCTAGAGGAAAATTCGAAAGCGAATTGCTCAAATACCAAGCTGAGAATCGGAGGGAGGTGGAAAAGAGATTGAGGAGAATTAATTGAGATGCAAACCTTGTGCGGCAGAGGCGAGCGAGAATTAAGGCGGGCATTTCGGTTTCTGGTAAGCGGGTAACCGACGATTTTAATCGAAAATCGTCAATTACCAGCTAACCGAAAACCGATCGGTTACCTTGATGGTCGGTGGTCGGATGAGAAAAGAAAGGGGTCGGTTGACCAAGTAACTGACGGTGATTAACCACGGTTGTCCGACTAATCGGCCCCAACCGAGAGCCACTTAACCTTCCACAAAATTCTTTCCAGATTCATCTCCATTCTCATATCTTGAATCTAAAAATTTACTTCCCAAATCCAGGAAGAAGAAGAAGCAGTAGTAGTAATCCCTCTCTCAACAATTTCTCTATATTCACTCCTCTTCCTCTACACTCTCACCACCGTCATAGCCAACAAGCAGACCTACATCGTCCACCTCGCCTCCACCGTCGTGTCGCCTTCCACATCGCTGTCCGCCTCCTTCCCATCGCGGTCAGCGTCGTGCCGTCCCGTACGCCTCCTTCCCGTCGCGGAGCAGGCCACCAGCCTAGTAACAACATCATCTCACGTCGTCCTCATCGTCAATCCAACAAACCATCTCTTTCCCCGGCGACGACCCCGGCGATGATCCAGGGCCTCCGCTCCGCCATTTCCGTGCACGACCCCCTGCTTCTCCTCCTCGAATCGCCAACCGCCCTGCCCCGACGTCGCCTCCACTCACCGGCCGCCGCCACTATGTCTCTGCTTCTCCTCCATGGTCGTGGTGTCCAGATCTGAAATGAAAGAAGGAAGGAGAGAGACGGAAGGAGTGGTGGCCTGCCTGGTGGTGGGGGGTTTTAATGGAGAAATGAAGGAGAGAGAAGGATGGAGGAGATAAGGAATATGTGGTGGGAGGATTTTTGGGGGTTTTTTTTAATTATTTTTTTGGAGATTAGGGAGTGTTTTTCGGGTATGCGGCTAACCGAAGCAAAACCGATAACCGACCAATCGGTGGTCGGCTAACCGTAGTGTCCCTCGTGGTCGGTTATCGGCAGCGGGAGGTGGTGGCTCGGTTTAACCGATAATCGAGAAATCGGTTTTCTGTTAAACCAAAACCGAACGACTGACACCTCTAGTAAGAATGGAGAAGAGAACAAGACCTCATTTCAATCCAAATAGTTGAAGTCTCCTTCCTTGTCAAGTTCCATTCTTCTCCGCGTCTTTTCTACATCCCTAGCTTCAAGTTCCCAACCTCCATTTCTTCCGACGATCTGAGCTATGGGCGGCGGCAATCGGTGGTTGAGGCCTGAGGTAATGAACTTTCAGATCCTTTCACTTTCTTCATAGCACGTTTTCTCTCTTTCTCAGCTAGAAAAGGAAAGAGTAGATAGATGAGTACATATGGAACTATGACGTTTGTAATCGTGTGGTTGGTGATTGGATTTTCCAGCTGTAGTCTTATTGAGTATACGAATTATGTAAAGCTTGTGTTGAACAAGGAAATTGTTATTGCTTTCCGGAGGAGGATTGGGGTTTGTTCTTGGCTTGTGTTGATTTGTAATTTCTTCTTTAATTTGTTGATAATGGATTGGCAGGGTGCTCGCGGAGTATTGGTATTGGGGATTAGAAGAAATTAGGGTTTTTTATTTATTTTAAATAAAAGTAATAATGAGGTGGAAATGAGATGTCAATTTTTAAAAATTTAATTTTATTAATTTTAAATTACCACATCACACATTTAACAGTCAACTTTTAGAGTTAACCGCCACGTAAGCAAAAATTAACGGAATTGGACGGAGAGTGATCAAATGTGAACGGTTTTAGTAAACTGAAGTACCACCAATGAATTTCAATATTTCAAGTGACTACACTTAAACGATTACTAACCCTATTCCAGTAAGTAAAAGTTTTGGGAAATGACAGGTATAAATGAAATCCCTCTGGCTTGACTGCAAGCTATGGCAATTAAAGATAGTAAGACGAGTCGTAAGTAAACGTCTTATCGATCATTTGTTAGCATGCTCTACTAATTAAACTGGCCTGGCGATTGGTCAGCCATTTTAGTCGACCGTTCGTCTTTGTTTTGCTTACATGTATCTATCGGTAGGTAGTTGTTGTTGTTCTTTTGTTCGCCTCGCATATCATAGCAGGTTGGTAAAGAATCAGTAGGTAGTGTCACTCATAATCATTGACTGAATGTAAGCTAAAAGCAATAAGCAACAAAACAACCTTCAAACTTTCCTATTATTAATTAGGAATGGCAAACGATTGGTTGGACAGGAGACGGATATTGATTATCTATTGTTTTATGTTAATATTTGTGAAAATTAAAATTATGTCCGTACTTGATTGGATTTCGTATATCTATGAACAATATTTTCCCTATATCTTCTCAATTAATGTGTTACTAATCACAAATATAATAACATTACAGAAGAAAAAAAATCTTAAGTAACAAATCACCAACACTTGAGAAATAAAAAAAAAAAATAACACTAGTTCATATATACTAGGAATTACAAATATGTTCAATTAAAAACGATGATCTACACAAAATATTGTGTATGCATGCATAATCAAGCGGGTTTATTATTTATTTTTACTCTACCCAATCGGATGATCAAATGGGAGAGGATATTCGAAACTATGGATATTTTTGCTATCCTATAATTAATCAACTATTTCGAGAACACCTCATTCTTTGTCCTTATTTTCCACCAAGTTGCTGACATTGACAAGCTCATGACAACCCTTGCTGATGTCAAGCTCCATTAGTGGTTAGTTACGTACTTACGTTAGAGCCATAAATATATAGATATATTTGTCATATTCCATGTTATTTCGCATTCGGCAGTCATAAACAAATTCGTACAATTACAGGTCGATGATGTATCCATTACCTAGTTCACACCTGCGAAAAATTTGCGTCCCTCAAGACGACTAAAACCTCCATAAAATCCATTCTCGAATTAAGGAAGGATCGATGAATTATTTTAGGGTTGTCCTATAAAAAAATAACTCAAATTAATAATTTAAAAAAATTAATTTTTTTCGTTTTTTTTAAAAGAAAATATCAAACTAGTAAAGGTTATAACAAACTACTATTACGTGTTTTCATGTCCGGCAAAAAATCGTAAAATGCATCCAAATATTCAATGCATGTAGTGTTCAACAAATCTCTTTCAATATATCATATTAGACAATTAGTTATCAATTGATCGCCTATTCGATTATGAAACTTGTTCTTGATGTAACCCAAAGCTAAAACGCTCTTTCAACACATGTAGTTGCAAACTATAAAGTCAATACAATTTCAGAAGCAAGTAGAATTATGAATAGAATAAATTTACTTTTGTCTTCACCGTTAACTAAACTAATTCATCAATTCCTTTTAATGTAAGGAATCTCTCATCATTCTTATTACAATGTTAAGAATTCTTATAGGACCAAACTTGATGGCGGTCTCACACGACTAAAGAAGAGGGAGAGTCACCCTGAGTTGAGAAGACTGCTTTTTTTTTTATTATTCGTGTGTTCAGACGAGAAGAGGTGAATAGAGGATAGAAATAGGTTTCAATTTTTAGGAATTTAATTAAATTGAACAATTTAGTTGGAGTTTATGTAGCGTATAAATACATGTGATATTCTAAAGTTAAAAAATGAGCTTATGATGTAATGGATAACATGTTATTTTATATAACTACATGGTGAAGAGTTCAAAATATAGGAACTTGCACTCTATTTTTTCCTCTTGCAAGTCCAAAATTAGTACCGGTGCTCGATATTTTTTTCTTTGTTTTTTAGGGACCCCCTAAACCTCCATGGGTCCTCAATTACCTAGCACTATGTATGAACAACCTAGGGTCAGTAAAGCAAAGGAGTATTGAGTCGATTCATGAGGATTCGGACCAAGTGTCTTATGAAATGACTAATGAGATGCGAAAAGAAGGTAAGAGTTTGACATGAGTCCTTCCCTGTCTAGAACTAGATATAAAAAACCCCGATGACAATCTAACGAAAGAGTATTAAATCGATTCTTGAAGACTTGGACTAAATAAGTGTTATGAGTGTAGATACAAAAAGAAGATAGGATTCGACAATTGGGTTTCGTGAAAATTCCTTCTATAAAGTTTGTAGCCTGAAAAGATCCTTGCATTGGAGCCTGGAGGATCAAGACAATTCTAAGTGATAAAATGTTAAAATGAGGAAAAATAAGTGACTATATGATATGACCAAAGTACGCAGTTTTTCTTCTTTTTATGGATTTTCGAAACTTTTTTTCAATTTGAACAACTCGAAAATAAAAGATATATATGGAACACAATCAAACAGATCTCAACTCACCATCCTGTGATATTGTAGGGTTGTTTTGATGACCTCATTACTATATTAATGCCATCAATTCTTCCGATCAACATCCATGAAAATAGCAATTCTGAGACTCATCACCAAGTAAAAAACATGGTAAAATTCCTACCAGTTCTTGTTCATCATTCCTCACGATCTAAGAATTTGTTCAAGTATCAAAGGCCTCTTTTTATGCTGATCTAATCAAATATATTTTTATTTGAAGAAACCGAGTGTGTAAAATCCCAGAGAACAGAAGGCAAATCAAACTACTCATTATGTACTGTTTTATCGCCTTTCCTGCCATCTCCGGACAATCAGTAGCTAACAATCAAAATAAGGGTACCGGAAAATGCTCCTTCTGTTCCCCTGACGTTCTTTAGTGACGGGCGTTAAGTTATAACTTCATAATCCTTCAATTCCTCCAGCTTGGACGAACAGATCGTACCAGAAATCCATACCCTCATCAATCCTTGGAAAACCCCCGCCGCCGTTCATCCCTTCATCAGGATTCAGGACAGAAAAATCCAAGGAATTGATTTGGGGATCAAATTGCAAGTATTCCCCTGACTCCTCCTCCTCCGGCGCCGACCAAAACGCCTCATCGATAAGCACCGGGAACTCCTCCTCCTCCGGCAAGATTTCCACGTAATTGCTCGCGGTTGCCGCAATCGAATTGTCAGACGAGACTGAAAAAACGGCGCCGCTGCCGCTGCTCGACGGTTGATGCGACAGAGCCGCGTCGCTCTGGCTCTCTGTAGACTCTGTTTCAGACGTATTCGCCGTCGCTGAAACAGAGCATTCCTGAACAGAGGAGAATTGCTGCGGCGAGTAATTTCCTCCTCCTTGGTTCTTCTTTTGCTTCAACAATCTCTTCTTCAAATGGGTATGCCATACATTCTTAATTTCGTTGTCCGTCCTCCCCGGCAGCTTCGCTGCAATCGCCGACCACTTGTTTCCGAGCAATTCGTGGAGGTCGATGATGGCGTCCTCTTCTTCTCTGCTGAAATTGCCTCGCTTGATTTCCGGGTTTAGGTAGTTTATCCAACGTAGACGGCAGCTCTTCCCGCACCTCAACAAGCCTGCAATAAATTCAACGGAAAACCCAACTCATCAGATTCCTATCCAGATTTGATATTTTTTTCGACATTTTGGCAGGGGATGGAAAGTGGGTAATTACCGGCGAGCTTAGGCAGAGCGCGCCAGTTGCTGTGGCCGTATTTCTGAATGTAGGAGGTGAGGATTTGGTCCTCTTCGAGAGTCCAAGGGCCTCTGTTCAGCCCCATCTTCGCGCAGCAAGGAGCTCTCACCATCTTCTTAATCTGTTAGTCAATCTGGGTTTTCTTACACAAGTTGGTCTGGGTGAGAATTGGTGAAGAAAGCGAGAGAGCTCACACTCTGTTCAGAATGGAGGAAGTTTGAGGTATTTATTTAAAGAAGGGAATGGTAGAGGGAGGGAGACAGTCAATCCCCACGAGGGGATATGTTGGAAAAGTCTTACAAACACGCCATTAAAGATTAAACTAATGGATGCAACTCTCTCCGTCGTCTTCCTCTGTTTTAATCTGTTCAAGATCGACCCCTACCAGTAAACTTCCACGAAACACACGCTTCCTCTCTTTGTTATTCTCTAAACAAATGTATCTTCAAGCCACTTGCTTTTCCTCTCTATCTAATCATAAAAGTTCAGAACTTGGTAGTACTTGGTTTTGGTTGCTCTAGATTCCAAAGTCCTTGTTTAATTTATGCTAATGAAGCTGTATGCTACTCTTGAGGGCTTAGGATATAGGGAGTGTGGCTGAGGGGGAAACATTGTGTGGCTGAAATTGACAGGGAGTATGGAGGGGCATTTTTGTCCGATTTCTGAAATTTTATTTCTTTATTTTTTTTATTTTTTCCAACATTTATATGCTGGTTTTTAATTGATGAAAGAGCATGGTTGTCATGCCGGCCGGCGTGCCACCGGTTGTACCTGGTTCAACCGGTACCGGTCATAAAACCGGCGTGACACCACCGGTATGACCGGCATGATCGATATACAAATCTCTAAGTAAAATGATCTTATTTTAGAGAATTTAATTGATAAAAATTATTTTATTATTTATTTTATGATTATAAAAGTTAAATATTGATGTTATTTGTTGGATTCAAGTATAAATGTTTAGGTATTGACGTTAAATGTCATGTTTAAATATGAGTATTTATAATTTTATTTGTAATATTGACCGGCATGAACCGGCACAAACCAGTATGTGCCACCGGTTGAACCATTCCACTTGCTAAACCGGCACACTGGCATAAACCGGTTTGACAACCTTGTGAAAGAGAAAACCAGATCTCTCTTCCTCTTTTTTTTCTTTTTCTTTTTCTTTCTCTCTTTCTTCTCTCTTCCAAACACTTTTTTTCAGATCTAGATCTGTTTCCTTCTCTTGTTCTTCATTTTTTCTCTCCAATCGACAAAGAAAAAAATTGCCGCCTCCCCTCTCAAATTCGGTGACGCTCCAAATCGTTATTCTCTCGTATGCTCCTTCCTTCTGTTCTTTCTTTTCTCGGCCTCAAAATAAATGACGCTCCATATTGACCAAGAGGGGACAAATCTAGGTGAGTCGAGTTTGCATGTTTTATGTTTTAGTATTTGTTTGTGAATTTTCAATTTCAATCTTCCTCCTTTTTTTGTTGCATTTGGTGTTCTTGATTGTGGAAGAGGAAATGAGAGTAGACATAAGACGAGTTTTTTCTCTCCCTCATTCTGTTTCTCTTCCTTCTTTTAGGTAATATATATTGATATTACCACACTATACCATATGGTAATGTGTGCTAACTAAATATATTTTTATAGTCACGAGCAGTGTAGTCAAAATCGCGCATTAAAACGTTTTTACGTATCCAGGCCACCAAAACGTTTCAGTTTCTACCTAAAGTCGATTAGTCACAAAAACTGGTAAAAACATGGGTAAAATCGGTAAAATCACTTAAAATCGGTAAAATCGCGATTCTGAAGCGTTTTTATACGATTTTGATCATCTCATAAAAATGTGCTAATTGGCCCAAAATGATATAATTTTGGAGACATATCAACGAAAATAAAAAAGGAAAACATGATTCATCACTCGTTCTACAACTAGTATCGAGATAGGGGCTTCACATTAGGTTCAAAAGACACCTAATGGTGTTCTCAACATCCGTTGACCTTTTATCAGTCTTCTCCCTTAATCTTCACCTGTGGCTCTTACCTGGGTTACGATAAAAGTTTATGGGTAATTGATCGTATGTAATTATGTAAACTCAAACCAGCTTATGAGAATTTGGATTCTCAAACTCGTTTACGGGTTACGATCTACGTTATGAGCTTATTATTAAGATGTTATGAGTTTTCTCTACTTTTGAGTCAACACAAATTAGTTTATGTGTTATATATTACATTTTAATTATGAATTTAATGTAGTTATTCACTTATCTAAAATCTACACACTCACATTTTACATACTATATGTTGTACTTAACATATTTTAGCTATTTTAGAGGGTGCGTCAAAAACTTCCACTTTTACGCTTTGATTCTACGTTTTACGATTTTACCCATTTTCCGCTTCTAGGTAGAATCGCGCTTTTAACTGCATTGGTCACGAGTTTTATCATGGTGGTAGTGGGTGGTAATCGACAACAATTTCGAGAAAGAAGAGTTAGAAGACAATGAAGTGGGAGAAGAAAGTGAAGAGAGTCGTAATTGTATATATATATATTAAGATTACCACACTATACCATATGGTAAAGTGTGGTAACGAAATGTATTTTTATGGATATAATGTTTTCCTATGGTCGTAGAGGGTTGTAATTAGATTTATATTATTTTCGTATGGTGTTACCTTCTCATACCATGTGGTATTGTATGGTAATTACAATTAATTTGTGTTCATTCGATTAACCATGTTCTACTATGGTGGTATTGAATGATAGTTATATTTATAATTTTCTGTAACCTATTTTACCATGTGGTGGTAGTTGGATTTGTAATTTTATTTTAGCATGTTATACCATATGGTATGAATAACATATGGTATGAAATGGTAATTAGATTTGTAAATTTCTGTAGCATGTTTTACCACGTTATACCATGTGGTATTATATGATAGTTAGATTTGTAATTTTCTTCAACATATTTTACCATGTTTTACCACGTTATACCATGTGGTATTGTATCATAGTTAGATTTGTAATTTTCTTCAACATATTTACCATGTTTTACCATGATAGTAGAAAGTGATAATCATATTTATACTTGTAATTACTGTCTTTAGCACTGAATTATTTAACAAAAAAATCATCATTCAATTTGAGTTAGAATTAGAACAAAGATAGGTAGGATGGTTAGATTCATTTTTGTTGTAGATGGGAGAGAGAAGAAATAATGTATTTTTTCTTTTAAGGCAAAATACACTTTCATATCCACAACTTTGACGTTTGTGACAAATATAGCCACAACTATCGAAATACACAAAATATCCAATTCTGTCCATCTATTTAACGGTGTCAGGTTAAGAGTATGACTATACTGACGGAATAGATGAGTTGGCAAACTTCCGTCCCCACCCATCTATCTGGATTAACAGAAAAATAAAAAAAGAAAATGCTAGGATTTAACTTTAAAAATTAAAACTAAAAAATAATAAATGGAACCCTGCAAATCGCCAACCTATTCGTCTTCCTCTCGCCCCAGAACCCTTCCATCACCGAGCTCCAAATACTCCGACGAAACCTTCTTATGCTTCCTTTGACGACGATTGGCGCAAGTAGAGTTAGAAGCCACTGGGTTCTTCCTGAATGGCGTGTAGCTTGCCTCGCCGTCTTCTTCCCGGATCCAAAATCCAGATCCAGAACCAAATCATTGGAAATGCGATCGGAACACGATTAATCGTCTTCCTCGATCTTAGGAATCCAGAGTCTTCACCAATAGATCCGTCGTCATTAGAGTCAATAGGGAGTTTGGGTTCAGATTGGGATAGACGCCATCGCCAGCGGGGGCTTTGTCTGCGATTTTGGAATTGGTGTTGACTGGAAGCAGGGGCGAGAGCTAGCGGCGATGGAGCTAGCGGGTGCGAAGCAGATCCTCGATGCCGTCACCATAAGTCCTCGAAGTCGCATCACCGTCTTTGATGCCCTTGTCGCTCGCATCATTGCCGTCGTGGTCTGCTTCAATCGATCTCCACCTGCCCTACCTTTAACTCCAGCATCGACAGGGAATGAGACTGCAGGAGTAAGCATCTTCGGGAGAAGAACGCTGATTTTGGCGGGTTTCGGATTGTGAGGTCGTGACGGCACTTCCTACTCCGTCGCGCCGCCGCTAGTTGCCGCGATTAGGGGTGTTTAGAAGGCCAACAAGTTCAACGTATTGGTGGCGGATTTTATTTTGGGGGTGGGAGTGAGCGGTGGTAACGGATTTGATGTCGGCGGTGGGAGTGGGCAGTGGTGGCGGATAGATGTCGACAATGGGTGGTGGCGGATTTGATGTCTGCTTTGGCGGTGGGAGTAGGCGGAGGGGAGAAGATGGGGCGGAGAGGAGAAGTTGGGGCAGAAGGGGAAGAGTTACGAAATTGATTTTTTATTTTATTTCTTAAAATTAAATATATGTAAGTAAATATGATATGTAATTTCCGTGTCATTTGGTGTTGATTTTTGATGACGTGTGCACTGATTTGGCGTCCTAGTCAGCGTATAACTAACATAACTGACGGCGTCACTAACGGCGTTAAAGTTTGTAACGGAAATGGATAGATTTGTCACACTACCATCCAAATTTTGGATTTTTTTGTGTATTTCGATAGTTATGGATATATTTGGCACAAACGTGAAAGTTATGGACATAGAAGTGTATTTTGCCTTCTTATAATAACAAAACAAAGAGTGAGAGAGAGGGGAACCAGTGTGGGATGGGGGAGTGGGATCCGCGTCTGGTCAAAAAGTCTGCGCCAGAGCATCAGCGTCATCATTAAAAGGGGGTGCAATTTACCTTAGTGCCCCTCCGTGTTTAATTTAAATAAAAGGAAAAGGCTGACACGTGGGGACATATGATTGGATTACTGACAGTTACTGATAGGAGAGTTACTGACCTGATCCGGTCCCCTCTTTAGGCTCAGAGCGGTGCGACAAACAATATTTTAGTAGATATGATGCTAGGATAATGTTAGGTTGATTGACTTATGCATATGTAGTCTGAATAATTTTGCAAAAAAAAAAAAGTTTGTATGACTCAATTCCAAACCCTGCTTTCATGAGTAGAAGATATTTGTCTAGGGATAATGCTACTATTGGTAGTGAATACATCATAAGTACATTGCTTAACAATATTAAAATCATACATTAAAATAATAAAAATAGAGATAAATAAGAAAAATGGTCCAGGAGGAAGAGAATAGATACCTTTCACTTTCAGAAATGTATTGTTTTTCCTATGTTATGAATATTCCTTATTTTGTTTCCACAAATTCTATTTAATCTTCATGACGACTATCTTTGTAGAGATCTTTCCAAAAATATTTTCTTTTCT